TCCTACGTGGACTCAAAGACATCGTCTTCTCCCCCTGCCCTCTTCCCCTGCTCTCCCCATAGTTTCGTCAGCACTGGGTCTCACACGCCGTAAAAATGGAAAAGTATAAAACACAGCCTCAAGAGGGTGCCCTGCACTGACATAACACCTCTGTGATACACTCTACTGTGAACTAACACACTCCAAACCAAACTGGGGAAAAAATATACAATCTCAGAAACCAGAGCAGGTTCAGCCTGCATCACAAGGGGGCATCTACTGACAAAGTTTTAACTGTTCTGGTCAGATTTTTTCCTTCGATCTTCTATCCTCTGTCCCGGGCACTCAGTTCAGTGACCACTTTCCTCCCATACCTGTGTTTTCGATAGGGTTCTTTCTCTGGAGGCTTATTTCCTAGGTAGTTCCAAAAATGAATCTTGGGCTCCCACTGTCCTCCATCACCGTGTGCACACCACATTTTCAGAATTAGGTGCTGGTATTGTTCCCTCCTTCGACTTCGGATTATATGGGTTCCGGTCCTTCGGTGACTGATGATGCGTGCTTCTTCCATGTGGACTGAGTTGACCTAACTGTTCTGGTCAACTGAGCAGTTCTCTCTTAGGTGGCTGCTTGTTTGGCAACACGCCTTTGTACATTGGTCAGCCTTGGGCTAACGCCAAGTGTGATTTTCCTACCTCTTGTGAAGTCAGAGGAAGCCAACTGCTGCCGCATGCCAACCTTACAATGACTTTTGAAGCTTTACCCCTCAGAACCCCAGAGGGCAGATTCTCAAGTGTTGAGGGACCCAGGTCTCTTGGAAAAAGAACAATAACATTTTGTTTGTCATGACAGTGTTTTAAATCGTATGCCATCCACTAAATGAATGGTAACATTCATAGAACTACCAGATGTCCCACGGGATTAATGTATAATGGGCTTCAACAAATGCGTGATGATGTCTTTAAGGTAAGCCAGAGACAGATATAAGCCGTAGAGATAAGGGTGGATTTGGGGCTCCTGCCATCTCAGCCCTCATCTAAAAGTGATTTGTCCTTCCGACATGGCCCTGCTGGATGCCTGCTCCCAGGAAGTGGTCACTGAAGATGTGGGTGCTATAGCAATGTGGGCTGAAGAGTGCAGGTGGTTTACAGCTAGCAGGAAGCCTACAAATTGGCGTCTAAAAGCCTTTCTCCCCACCCCAACTGTTTTATTGGCATGTAATTTACATATCGTACAATTCATGCATTCACTTTTTAAATCATATCAGGGAGAATAGCACAGTCACCTCCACTTGAATTTAGAGCATCTCCCTTCTGCGCCCGAATGGGTAAATCGCCTTTAAGAAGAGTTATGCAATTGGAATCTCTTCTACTGCTCCCAACCCACTCCCATCTTCAGTATTTACTCCTGAAATCCCCTTGCCCTCCCTGTCAGCCACCCTGAACCCTGAATGCCCTGCTTCCCTTGTATCAGTTATTCTCAGTATGCATCCACTCCTCCTGTGCTTCACAGCTGGAGACCCAACAGCAAACCATAAAACACAAAATCGTGATTAGGTGGTAAGGGTAAAAATACAATAATACACAGATAAAAATACAAATAATGCGTAAGAAGGATAAGACACACCCCACCCCCGAATTAAACACACACACACACACACACACACAAACATCCCAAATCCAGGGAAGACATTTATGTCATGGAACCAGTAAGAGATACTTGCCCCTAGAACCGATTCAGGTTACATTTACAGGCTGGTCAACTGGCCACGGTTGGAGCTTGATGGAATATAATCACGATCCCAATGGTGTCTGCCCGATCATAAGGCTGATGGAGACTCTTGCCCCTGGCTAGAGTGGATCGTCCAGCCCCTCAGTCTGAGCAGACACTCCGCAGATGAGTTTTGGTCTCCCACCCCCCCAGAGCCCCCCCCAGAGCCCCCCGCAGACTGGGTGTTCATAATTAAGCACTGAAGTTTTCCCCCTCACCATATCTGAAGAACTGATTTTTCTAAAATTGTAGCAGGGATTTAGTGCGAGCCCCAAAACCTTTCCTGGATTTTTGCATTTATTTCCATATATATATATATATATATATATATATATATATATATTTCCCCCTAAATATTTCCCCCTAAATTGGGAGCCAAAGTAGCTCATATGATTCCATAGTTCAATCCTGTCCAACATAACTGTACAATTTCTTCCATAAGTGTATATGTTTCCCAAAACACACTTATCCTTCCTGGACGTCTCGATATCATCTCTTTGGTCTCCCCCTCCCCTGTTTATCCCCCTTACCCCAAGCCCCTGTCATAACTTCTTTTGCTGTAGGCTCCAAATCCCTGAGTTTCATTTACCAGAAGCTAAAGAAACAAATGGCACAACTCCAAGAGGGTGAACCCCATTGGCGACGCACCTCTGAGATACACCCTATTATAAACGAGCACGAGCAGAATAAAGCAGAGGATTGCCGGGCTAATACGTACCTGAATACGGTATACAGGGCTTCGATGCACCGAGACCTTGTTCGTTTCCCCAACAAACAGTACACCAGTATAGCTGACTTCTTCTACCTCAGACACGGTGTGTTGTCTGGCTTTGGTCCTCAGGCTACAAGTGTGTCTGGGTAGAGTCCAATTCGCCCAGTGGAGCTCCCATTTGGGGCCTCACTGATGCAGCCTCTGGAGCATGCCGTGCACTTCGGAGATGCAGGATTGCGTGTCCCCGTCTTCTTGGCAACGAGCCTGGGTCCCTGGGATACCCCCAGGTGCCCTAGGTCATGTCTGCCCTCCTGCTGCCTGCCACTAAAGACCGGCCCCACTGAAGACTCCCAAGAGCACGTTCAATCTCTCCTCCCCCCACCTGCCTATCGGCCCTCCCTCCCCTTCCGCCCAACAGACATTCACCTCTGCTCATCCAAAATTGTCCATTTCCACCCCCCTTCTCCTGCGCTGCCCCTCCCATCAGCTAGCCTCCTCCCTCTGACGGGGCCAGCGCCCTGTCCAGGGGACCTCACCCCATGTCCACATGGGTACCACTCAGCAGGCCGCATCTGCTCCCTTAACCCTGACCACTTGATCCCAGCTGTCCTGAGGCGCCCTGCGGCCAAGTGACCTACGCTACACTTACTTGGAACTCATGATGTGTGGTTCCTTGGTACTGCCCTGCCCCCCACCAGAAGACCGGGTGGCCTCCAGTCTTGAGCTGGTGCCCGTTCTGCTTTAAAATCTTTTCTTAAAAGAAGCAGCCATCCAACTGAGATGCCAACAAAGTGTGCACAGAAGAGGCACCCTGGTCTATGTGACCCGACAATTGTCCTTTTTGTTAAACCAAACGCAGACGAGGAAAGGGTATGGGAGCCTGAAATCTGAGCACACCGTTTGCGAAAGGCTATGAGTGACGGAGAGGTCAGGGGGGCTGGCCCCAATCCCAAATACTAAGTGGACACCTGCCCCTACCCCCAGAAGAATTTATTTCAAAAGACGGCATTGAATCTGCAGCTCCGGGAGAGG